ATCTGAGTATCATAGTCCAATGCCAGCCCACACAGAAAAGTCCCTTTAATATCCTTAGCTACAATTTAACCATTCAAAAACTGGAAGTGGAACTGTGACTCAAAGTGGTAGAGTGCTAGCCTTGAGTAAAAGAGCTCAGGAACAGGCTGAGCACTGGTGGCTCATGCCTGCAATCTTAACTACTCAGGATATTGAGATCTGATGATCTTGGTTCAAAGCCAGCCTAGGCAGGAAAATCAATGAGACTCTTTTCTCCAATTAACCACCTGAAAACTGGAAGTGGCACTGTGGCTCAAGTGGTAGAGCTGCTAGCCTTGAGCTGAAATGCTAAGGGACAATGCCCTGGTCCAAAGTACAAGCTTCACCTGACCAAACAAACAAACAAAAAATAATTTAAGAAAACACCCACTATCACCACCACGACCACCAACAACAACCAAAAAACTCAAATCAGAAAAAGGAAATAAAAATTGAAAATTATCTGAAGTAAATCTGGAGTAAATTGAGATTTTTGGTTTGTTTTCATTTAGAGAACTATTTTCTTGTATTATTCACTTTATTCTCTTTCCTTTTAATGTTGTCTTTGGACAACTTCTACCCATCTCTCTTTTGACTTGGATTACATCGCTGGTTAGTTGTTATGCAACAGAGCCATGTGGGTCAGGGAGCCCTTGATACTCTGCTTCTTCAGTAGTTATCTAAACTTCTCAGGTGTGGGCTGGGAAGGTGGCTCAGTGGTAGAGCGCTTGCCTTGCATGCATGAGGCCCTGGGTTCTATTCCTCAGCACCACATAAGCAAAAAGCCGGAAGTGGCGCTGTGGCTAGTGGTAGAGCACTAGCCTTGAGCTGAAGAGCTGAGGGACAGCGCCCAGGCCCAGAAGTTCAGGCCCCACAATCGGACCCAAAAAACAAAAAAAACAAAACTTCTCAGGTGTTCTGAGTAACAGAGATTCTCATATTGTGGTGAGGTTGAAGGTTCTGAATGTCAATTAACTTGTACGGGATTCATGATTGGTTTCCTACTCACCGTACTGTACAAGCTATGCACAGCAACTTCTAAGTTTCATCAGAAAGGCCACATGTATTTGCATCATTATACCAAGAATGCCTGTTGCATATAAACCTAAAACTTCAAAAAAATTTTGTTTAATTAACTCGATGCTAAAAGTAGTAAAATAAAAAATACACAAAAATAGGTCTAGTTCTTTGATAGCTTCAAAGAACAATTGACAGCTTGAATCAAACAGCCTTTTCTGAAGAAATCCTATGTTTTGAGTTCATGAATGTTTATATAAATATTAGAAATGTTTATTTTCCCATAACCAATCACCAAATGGTAAAATAAATATTACTTGTGATGATAAAATTTTCCAGTTGATCAGTATCATTTTCTTTGGTTCATTTGTTTCATTTTTCCATGGCAAACAACCAAGCATTTCTCTAGTGGCATGTGGAAATAGCATGGTTATATCATCCTGAAAGAATTATTCCTATCTCTCAAATCCAATAATCACACATTTATTATATTCAATGAAATGGAAGCATATAGCCACTTCACAAGTGACTTCTTTTTTTTTTTTTTTTTTTGCCAGTCATGGGGCCTGAACTCTGGGCCTGAGTGCTGTCCCTCAGCTCTTCAGCTCAAGGCTAGCACTCTACCACTTCAGCCATAGTGCCACTTCCAGCTTTTTCTACTTATGTGGTGCTGAGGAATCCAGCCCAGGATCTCATGCATGCAAGGCAAGCATTCTACCACTGAGCCACCTTCCCAGCCCTCACAAGTGACTTCTATCAATATAAAATAACTACCAAAATCATCAATGGATGAGCTATTCATGTTGTCAAAATCCTTTTACATTCTCTAGCCATAAAAGGAATGCAAATCAAACATTGAGATTCCATCTTATCCCAGTTAGAATTAGAATGGCTATAATAAAGAAATCTAATAACAACAGATGCTGGAGGGGATGTGGCCAAAAGGGAACCCTACTGCATTGTTGGTGGGAATGTAAACTTATTTAATCACTCTGGAAAGCAGTATGGAGGTTCCTCAAAAGACTCCACATAGAGCTCCCCTGTGACCCAGCAATCCCACTTGTGGATATTTACCCAAACGATCACAAACAAGGCTACCAGCCCAACTATGTTTATTGTAGCATTATTTACTGTAGCTAAGATATGGAACCAACCCAAATGCCCCTCAGTAAATGAATGGATCAAGAAAATCTGGTATATATACACAATAGAATTCTATGCCTCCATCAGAAAGAATGACATTGCCCCATTTGTTAGGAAATGGAAAGACTTGGAAAAAATTATATTAAGTGAAGGAAGCCAGGCCCAAAGAAGTATAGGTCCCATTGTTTCCCTTATTTGCAATAACTAATATAAGTCTAGGACAAGCAGAAAAGGTCAAAAGCTATGTATATATGACCATATAAGATGATGTTAAATGAAATGACACCCAAAATAGGGACAAAACTGTTTTTTTTCTTTCTTGTTGTTGTTTTTAACGTATTTAAAATGTACTATGTAATTTTTTTGTTTGTTTGTTTCTCTTGTATGTTCTTCCGCTGCCGTATAACCCCTGTTTTCACCGTATCTGATGTCGGCGCCCCGCATCTTGTATATACATTTTTCTAATTTGGGGAGGGAAGGGAAATAACAAAATGCTGAAATAAGGATACAGGTTGACCCATTGTAACAATGAGATGTACAAGACACTATGTTGAAAACAAACTTTACAACTTTGGGTGAGAGAGAAGGAATTGGGGAGGTGGGGAGGGAAGAGATGGTAGGGGAAAAACAAAGGAGGAGGTCACAAGACTCAATAGGAAATGTACTTATTTCCTTACTCGTGTAACTGTAACCCCTTTGTATGGTGCTTTTACAATAAAAAACACAAAAATCCTTTTACATTCTCTTTTTCTATATTTAGAACGAATTGACATTTTCTTTTTTTTTCTTTTTAGTACTACATTCCTGCCATTTTAGCACTCTATAAGCCAGGATTTCTGTGTGTGTGTGTGTGTGTGTGTGTGTGTGTGTGTGTGTGTGTGTGTGTGTGTGTGTGTGTGTGTGTGCATAACAGGCCTGGGGCTTGAACTCATAGCTTGAGTGCTACACCTGAACTTCTTTGCTGAAGACTAATTCTCTACCATTTGAGCCAAAACTCCACTTGGGGGTTAATTGGAGATAAGAGGACTTTCCTTCCTGAACTGTCTTTGAACTGTAGTCCTCAGATCTCAGTCCCCTGAATAGTGAGGATTTACAGACATGTGCCATTGGTGCCATAATTTCTTTAAAGCTTTTGCTAAAGTTTGAGTGGTCTAAATCTTCTTTGGAATGAGGCATGCTGTCTCTTAGATGGATGGGGATTGTAATTCTCTTCACTGTCACTGCCAATATAAATAGTGCCACATAGAAAAGAATAGCAAATTAAAATGACACTAGCAATTTTGTATGACTTATTTTATAATAATTAATTCAATAGCCTTTAAAAGCCTATAAAACATTGTTTACACCCAATACTTGAAATCACTTCCTACTATTACAGCATTAATATCCTACTCAAATATTAAGAAACTTTTAAAATAATATATGGATTACAGAATACCCAAAGAAGAAAGTCATCAAGAGGATGAATATTTATAGCTGAGAAATTACAGATAATGATCTCTGAGGATGTTATGAAACCATTTACCTTATTGAGTTGATAGTTTAAGCAATACTTGACTTCTTACACAAATATATAAGTACACTATAAGATAACTGCACTATAAATATAGCAACTGACCATTTTTGAGAAAGGCCATCTTGAAAACATACACATAGGTGCATATGTTGAAGTAGAAGGAAGAAAAAGAATTTAAAATTCATTTAACAAACCAGAAGGCAGAGGTTACATTTGGTAACAGTAAGTACAATTCTTTATATTAATACATTATTTTATATAAAATGCAATTAGTATCATTACATATGAATTTTATTTCTACCTTAGGTAAAGGACAACATTCCAAGTTGATTATGTTGTATTTGGTAAAATCCATTTTTCCTTCTTTTCTTTTTTTGTGGTATGATTTTAAGGACCTTTGAAAAAAATATAGATTCTAAACAATACCTGTTAGGTGTTATAAAATCAGAGCAAACTGTTCCTTCTATGTTAGACTCTTCTATGTTAGAATTATTCATTTGAATGGAAAATGCATTATTCTTTAATTATTTTGAATAGAAATAACACTTTTTAAAAATTTCTTAATTGTTACTATAAAGGTGATGTACAGTTGAGTTAGTTACATAAGTCAGGTAATGTATACGTTTATTTTTGACAATATCACCCCTTCCCTCTCTTTCTCCATTGTTTGCTCCCATCTCTACCCACAAATGTACAGTTCATTTTCAACCGAGTGTCTGGTGAGTATCACTACTGCATTCACTCTTTGTCCCACCATTTCTGTGCCATCCTTTGCCCTCCCAAAGACAGATAATTGAACAGACAAAACAAAAGGAGAAGAAAACTAAAACAGCAGAGAAAAAAAGACAAACCTCGTTTCCATTTCCTGGACTTCATTAAGATACATGTAATTTTGTATGAGCCGATGCACACAGCGATTGCAACTTGTGAAACTCTGCTAAGATTATCCTCCTTTGGTCTCACTCTGTGAATAAGAAATGACATTTTAAACAGAATCAGGTCAGATTCTGCTTTACTTCAGGTCAGACATACACCAATGATAATTATTTTGTGTGTTTCTGATTTGAACTAGTAAGGAGTGAGTAATCGTTTAAAAGTGATCTAGGAAAATAGATTCATGTACAAGACTATGAAAGAGTAATTACAATAGCAGAAGTGTTATAAAAAGAGTGTAATAGGTGGTTAAATGCAATGATGACCCAGGGACAAGATTACTAATGGAAATATTGTGATATCCCATAACATACATTTGCATTGTAATATTTACTTCTTTATGCTAGTAATAATTTTCCCTTCCAGGTAAAATATGTGGTGGCTACTGAAAACAATGTGCTTTGTGCATATCCTTGGCAATATATTGTGTCTACCCTATAAAAAACACAAGAATCCTGAAGCCAATATGAATACTGTAAGTAAAAATTACTTACTGCTAGTGAAAGCATTTCCATTAGTTTGATCACTACTGAATTCATTCATCTTTTTGAAATGTCATGCATTATTACAATCTGAAAAATGGTTTTGCATATTTTCCCCAATCCAATAAAAGTTCTATATTGAAATGATACAAATAACTGAGCTCAAAAACACATATAACTAAACAATTTATGCTTTCTCCATTTAGAAGCAGATAATTTCTTACTGGGGATATCCAAGTGAAGTATATGAAGTCTATACTAAAGATGGTTACATCCTTGAAGTCTGCCGAATTCCTCATGGGAAGAACAAAGATTCTCAGTTAGGTAAGATTGAAGGGAATGAAACTTGGAGCTCTCAAATCTCAAACCAAATATATTCTATGCAAGAACTTCCCACTCAGAAAACAGACCTCTTTGACTCCCAGAGACAAAGCTGAGGTTCTGCATGAGACTTGGCTGACTTGGCTGCTATATGTGAAGGAGAAACACAATCTCTACCAGTTGTGTAGTTTCATTTGCTGAACATAATACAATTACTTGTTCCTTTCAAACACACTTATACTCTGGGATGCTTTAAGTTTACTGCAGTGAGTGGTTTTTACTGGTCTTGCTCCAATAACATCTAAGATTTGGTTCTCTACACACACTGTCCTTCTGCTTGGCATCCAAGTGTGTATTTGGTATTAAATTCAGAAATGAATTTTTGTCTTGAAATAGTTACATATGAATCTTTTCAGTCTCATTTAATATCTATACATTTCAATTTTGCTTTTTTGTTGTTATAGATGTTGGAAATCAAATAGCATTTGTATATTCAAGGCAAACTCTTGACTGCTATTCGGCAAGCCTAATCATTAGGTTTTAGAGACAAGGTCTTACTATGAAGTCAGTATGGTCTGAAACTCACTAGGTAGCCCAGTTTCGTCTCCATGTAGCAAAACCCTTTTGTTGTCTCCTGCAGGCTTCGAATACAGGCCTTCTTAATAACTTCCCATTTATTTTGTTTCCAATATGGTTTGAACTTTTTATTTTCAAAAGTATGACTGTCTAGGCTAGTGAATTCTACCTGGAACACAAGCTGCTCAGGAGGGTGAAATATGAGGATCATCGTTTAAAGTAAGCCTGGGCAGAAAAGTCCAGGCTAGTCAGACCTTCAATTAACTAGCAGAAACAGAAGTAGAGTTTGGCAGCCTTGAATGAAAAGCGAAGTAAAATCATGAGAGATTGATTTCAATTTCAGTACAGATCCAAACTAAATAGACAAGACACAAATTCTACAAATTGAACACATTCACTGTGAAAAACTGATAACTTCAGACAGAAATAAACATTGAAATATACCACTGCAGCAATACTTTTGCCTTGAAAACAACAGAAAATACCATGAATGTGATACATTGAAGATGACATGCAGTTTCAAGCTGAGTTTCAAGCTGAGTCGATATAGCTATATCATTGTGACCTGAACACTTCCTTTTCAGGGCAAAAGCCAGTAGTATATTTACAGCATGGTTTCCTTGCAACTGCTGGCATCTGGGTTGCCAATCTCCCCAGCAACAGCCTGGGCTTCATACTGGCCGATGCTGGTTACGATGTGTGGATGGGAAACAGCAGAGGAAACACGTGGTCCAAGAGACACCTGTATCTAGACACAGATTCTAAAGAATTCTGGACTTTTAGGTAGGTAAAATCTTTATTTTTTTCCTTCAAATTTTATTCAACATTTGAAATTTTAATTATTTTCACAGAACTAGTGTCCATGTCTTTCACTAATGTACCTGTTAAATATTATTTTGTAAAACTAGAAACACTTGCCATGGGCTTTGAATTTTTATTAATGTGCTTAAGAATCCAGATGAAAACTAATATAAAAGTCATTCCTCCTATCATTTACTATTTTTATTTCGATTGCAGTTTCTACCATTTTTATTTTTACATAATGGAACCGGGATAGAAGACAAAGACAAAAAATGTACTTGGGTATTTTATACGTAATATAGTAGAAAAATGTAGTGGAATGTTGTTCTAACCTTTTAATTGAGTGGGATCATAATTATGATTTTTTCTCAACTCTATGTAATGTGCATAATTACAGATAGATATTGAAGATATTTTGTGGGCTTTGAATGAGTACTGTTGATAAGCAGGTAAAATAGTTCCTAAGATATGTAAGTGTTTTATATAGTTAGTTAGAATGTCCAATATCTCTTTTCTAAAGACTTTTAAGGAATAATTAAAAATAAACTTATAATTTCATTGTTATAAAGATTTAAATCAAGTTTTGCTCATTTGTGTTTTGGGCAGTTATGATGAAATGATCAAGTATGATCTTCCAGCTACCATTGATTTCATTTTGGAGGAAACAAGACAGAAGCAGATTTACTACGTGGGCCATTCCCAGGGCACCCTCATCGGTATGCTAAGAGATTCTACACAGGGATCCTATTAGGATTACTGTCAGGAAAAACAAAATTTCTTTGAAAATAATTTCATCTTAGAACCCATTCATATAATTGTAACTACTTAACGATGAGACAGGCTAAGAATTTAAAATTGTAAAATGATAGTGATACAGTTATTTGATTTTTGTACAAATAAATATACATTTCAAAATTCACAGTACAATCATTGATAAGTAAAACATTTTCCAATAAGCTGTGAAACCAGCAAATATTAACATGTATTTAAAAAAACATAAAATATAATGACCATCAATGTATCATGGATATATGAAGTTCTTCACAAGTGGAAATTTAAAAGATAATAGTGGCATTTTCTTTACTTTTACTTTTAAAAAAATAATTATGTTCCCCAGAGTTCAAGCCCCATGACCTACAAAACAAATTGTGTTCATCTTCAGAAAAAGTATATTTGGACTTTTGGGAAATTAAATTCTGTTGGACAAAAGTTATTAGTCATAGACTAAAATGCTAAAACATATGCAGTGTACAGCAAAGAAAAACAGATGCAAAATCTTAGGGTTAACCCGATAGTATAGGAAATATGATCAAAGAGAAAATACCTGCAAACCAACCTATTGTTTTGCTTTGTTTTACCAGCTTTTGGAGCATTTGCAACAAATCCTCAACTGGCCCAAAAAATTAAGGTTTCTTTTGTATTGGCTCCGATTGCTACTGCTAAATACATAGCAGGTGGTTTGCAAGCACTTTCATACCTTCCCCCAGGAGTATTCAAGGTTTGTGATTTCCTTTGCTTGTATCAGATATTGTCTTTATCCTCAAGATTTCTAAATCAGAAAAACTTTTATGTTCTCTTCTGGAAAAATGTTTCCTTATACATTAAATGTAACCAAAATTATTTTAAAAAATATTAATTCTATATCCTGTAATGTTACTAAAGTCACTTACCAGTTCTCATTAATTTTTTAAATAAATTCAGAAATTTTAATGTTTTCTACTTCAAGTACCATGGATGAATAAGGACAACATTCGTATTGTGTACCATTTTTTAAAAATCTTACTATTTTTGTATGAATCCTATCACACTAGCTAGAACCTATGAAAGATTATTGAATAGAAATAACAAATGGAAACATCCAGTCTGGCATTCAAGTGAAAACCATATAGTATTTTTACTCAAATAATGTTTGAAACATGCTTCTCTTAGATGTTTAGTTTCTAGGTTTGGAAAGTTACCTTGTGGTCCAGGTTTTTTTTGAAACTATTAATCAGATACAATGCCTTTTCAATATCAACTTAACCTTAGGCCTATGTCAATAGAGTCCTAGAATTAGCAGATCTGCTAGTTATTTTTAGTCTCTCAACTGATAGATTACAGGCATAAGCCATTGCCTTTGCAGGAGAATTCAATCACATTTTAATTGTGTCTTTATATATGTTCACTGGGGATAGAGTTCTAGATTTCCAGGTTATGTTAGATTTTTCTCTGGCTCATTAAAGATACTATTCTATTCTTGTTTGCATTACTTCTCGAAAGAAATTAGTCTTCATTCCTGTATTTTTGTCATTGTTTGTGACCACTATGTTTTTCATCTCTTTCGTTGTTTAACCCAAATCTATGACAAAGTGACATGCATTTTAATCCATTTTTCTAATTTAGTTTTCCTAACCTACTGGTGGTCTCCTCTAACAGTCTTCTTAAGCTGCTGTGGGTGTTTACATGACCCATCCAAGTTTCTCAGACCCCGACCCCATCAATGGTGGAACCCAAAACCAAGCCTGTTGGGACCTGTTTCTCAGGGTAGATGGTCCAGACTTAAGAGTGTGGATTGATGATGGCTTCTCAAGGCAGCTTAAGCATTTACTGGCTAATTCTTTATAAGTCTATAAATCTGAGTTCACATCCTGGTCACGTGGATGACCTCATTTCACAAGGTTCCCAGAGAAACCTTGTTAGAGGGCAATTTTTCACCAGTGATGGGGCTTAAAGGACGCCGAACCCCCAGATTCCACTTCCAGCCTGGCCCTCCCAATGGACCAGTCCAGCCACCCTCATCCCTGTTCAGACTGTAAAATTCTCAGCCATTTTCTTTGTTTATTTACTGTGTTATACACAGCCAATTTTGAGGACCCCTAGATGGGACCCACTGAGTTTAACTGCCTAATTCTTGGTTCTTTCCCCTGGGAGAAGGGCCAACGGTGGCTTGGTAGTGCTTTCCGTCTCTTTTGCATGATTGCTTCCTTCTGGATTGCATCTTTGTGAATGGACCAACTCCTTGTAGGATTCTCTGTCTTTCCCTCTGTCTTTCCTCTCTGGATACTGGAGCTGGGTTTTGTTTTGGTGGGTAATGGGATTTTTGTCTTATTCATGGAACAAATAAAATTTGCTGATTTTCAGTTCTCCATCTTGGCCCTCACTATCTACTTGGTTAAGCATTGCCTGTTTGCTTGGTTAATAGAAACCAGAACAAACCATGGTATCTGACTAATATCTCCAAATTACCTTAAAAATTGGCCATTATTTAGTTTTCAGCAGGAACAGATGCTTATTCTAGATATTGTACTAATTTCTAAAATTGTCTGGAGCTTTCAAATGATTATTTCTTTGGCAAAGTTTTTTTTCACACAGTACTTTTCACTCAGTACTTTGTTAGAACCCACTGTCAAACATTTACCAGTACACCACTAAAGAGAAGTTTCTTGTTCTTATTCTTAGTATCTAGAACTTTCCATCCACTTTCCCAATAGTGTATAGGAATAGGATGAGGTTATAAATGAAATCATTTTAAGTATTTATATTTAGTGGTTCCTGGATCAAATGAGGTCTAGCACATTTTAGGTGGTATGGTTGTAGACTTTTGTTCTTTAAGAAGGTGTTGTAACAAAGCAGTTTATGAAGACAATGCATCTTGATCATAGTCATCACTTTTGGCATTATTGTGCTCTTATTTAAAATGGTATGCTGCAAAATATAGTGGAAATGTAATTCTTTTTAGAGTCAAAATACTCCTGAATTCTTTGAATTTGTTTCTAAGCAAATGTAGGTGAGTCACTTAAGACTTTCAACATCCACAAAATGAAAGTACATAAATTCTATCTTGACTCCTCAGAGGATTATCACATGACTTAGATTTGATGTCATTTTTTAAACCATTTTGGGAAGTACATTTTTAAAGTCCAGTTTTTTTTCATATGATATTTTGACATTTGTAGGCATTTTAAATCTCTTATTCTCATTTCCAACTTGCAGTGATGGGATCAGAAAGATGTTTCTATTATGATCTGTTCATGTACTGCCAGCAAAGGGCAAGATCTTCTATATTCCTAGCATCTTATCTGTAGGTTATCTAATATATGTTTGCCTGCGGTAACACAGCTGCAACTCATTTGCAGTTTATGCCAAGTCACTTTTTTTTTGTCGGTTATGGAACTTGAATTCAGGGTCTCTGTGCTCAAGACTAGTACTCTACAACTTGAGCCACCGCACTACTTCTGGTTGCGTGGTTAATTGGAGATAAGAGTCTCACAGGGATTTTTCTGCCCAGGCTGGCTTTGAACAGTGATCCTCAATTCTTAACCTCCTGAGTAGCAGGATTATAGACATGAGCCACTGGCACCTGGCTGCCAAATCACTTTTGTTTCTTCAATTGCATCTGCAGTTTAAAACTAAACTGAACAGACTGTGGGACCTGTATATATTTATGTCATTCTTTTCTCTCCTTTCTCACTTATTTTTTTCATAAAATCTTTATCTTGTTTTCTTCAAAATTTTAACCCCATGTCATTAATTCAGGAAGACTGCCAGGTTTTGTATTGTTCCCTGAAATATGATATATTCTGGTAATCTCTTTCAGGTAATTCTAGGACTCTGTTTATGTGCTTGATGGTTTTGAGTTCTGGGTTGCCTGATATCAATATTTATAAACAGTTGCTTCATGCTTTTGAGTTTATTTTTCTAACTATAACAATTTTCTGGTTTCAGAATATTTTCATCATTTGAAAAAGAAATGCATTATTATCCCTTCTCCCCAGACTTGATAAATACTAACCTTTATATATTTGTGGACTTACACATTTTAATAATTTTATCTCTTTAGCTCTGGACATGCATAAATGATGGCTGCTTTCTCTTTCTAAGGATTCATTTTTAAATTTTTAGAAATTCTTGCCAATGGATTCATTAATTGTATATGAATATGTACTTCTCTATTTATTGACTTCATTCTTTCATTTTTTTTATCTCAAAGATGTGTATCTTTCTATTTTGCACTTTTTCTATCTGAGATTAGATCTATTAGTGGTTTCTAAGATGACTTCTTATTCCTGGAATTAATTTCTATAAATACAGATATTCGCATTTTCTGTGTTTAAACAATTTCAGACTTTTCTGTGTGTAAAAATAACATGAAAGTTTTCTTCAAACACCTTGTAATATTTTATTCTTAATTTAATTCTAGTGACATATTTTATCTGATTTTTTTCTACCATCTCTTCAAATTAATCTTTCAACTTTTAATTAATCACTATTTTCATATATTTATATTACTGATCTTCAAATGAATAAATTTTATCTACTTACTGATTCAAGACATTAAAACTTTGGGTTTGTTTTCCTACCTTCTATGTATAACAATAAAAAATACAGTTTCACTTTTTTCAAGTTCTATTAAGTTGTGGGGTGTGTGTATATGTATGAGTGTGTGTGTGTATATGTGTATCAATGTGAGTGTGAAGGCCTGGGTCTTGAATGCTAAGTGTGAATAAAGTCCTTGGGTTCTTTTCTTCGAGACTAGCACATTAATTCTAAAGCCACAGGTGCACTTCCAGCTATTTGATGGCTTTTTGGAGATAATAGTCTCAGATTTGAACCTGATTCTCAGATCTCAGCCTCCTAAGTAGCCTGGATTATCACCATGTGCCACAGAAACCTTCCACTTGTGAGTTTTATAGGTAATGAGATCAAATTCATTACAATCAAATTGTTTATTACAGGCAGATTGATTTAAAAAAAAGTACTTCCAATGTGTTCTTATATAGACAAGAGTTTTGTCTAATGGATGTTAAAACATCCATTATTATGTCACAATTTTGCTTTTGGTCTGTTATTCTTTCTTGTTTTTGTTATAAGAAAGATATTTTCCTCTGAAGAGGAAATAAGAATGGCCAATAGACACATGAAGAAATGTTCGACTTCTCTAGCCATAAAAGAAAAGCAAATCAAAACAACATTGAGATTCTACCTCACCCCAGTTAGATCGGCTATAATCAAGACTACAGATGATGGAGGGGATGCGGCCAAAAGGGAACCCTACTGCATTGTTGGTGGGAATGTAAATTTGTTCAACCACTTTGGAAAGCAGTATGGAGGTTCCTCAAAAGAGCTCCACTATGACCCAGAAATCCCACTTTGTGGCATTTACCCAAACAATTATAAACAAGGGTATACTAAAACAACTGTGTTTATCACAGCATTATTTACCATAGCTAATATATGGAACCAACCCAGATGCCCTTCCGTAGATGAATGGATCAAGAAAATGTGATATATATAGGAATTCTATGCCTCCATCAGAAAAAATGACATCACCCCATTTGTTAAGAAATGGAAAGACTTGGGAAAACTTATATTAAGTGAAGTAAGCCAGGCCCAAAGAAACATAGGTTCCATGGTTTTCCTTATTGGCAATAACTAGTATAAGTCTAGGACAAGCAGAAAAGGTCAAAAGCTATGTACATATGCCCATAGAAGATGATGTTAAGTGAAATGAATCCTAAGATAGGGACACAAGTGGTTTTTTTTTCTTGCTATTGTTTTTAATGTATGTATAATGTACTATGTTTCTTGTGTTTCTTTTGTATAACCCCTGTTTTCACTGTATTTGATTCTGGTGCCTTGCATCTTGTATATGCATTTTTTCTATTTTGGGAAGGGGAAGGGAAATAACAAAATTCTGAAATAAGGATACAGTTTAATCATTGGAACAATGAGATGTACAAGACACCATGTTGAAATGAACTTTTCAACTTGGGCTTGGGAGGAGGGAGGAGTTGGGGAGGTTAGGCAGGAAGGGATGGTAGGGGAAAAGCAAAGGAGGAAGTAACAATGCTCAATAAGAAATGTACTCATTACCTTACTCATGTAACTGTAACCCCTCTGTACAGTACTTTTACAATAACAACATATAAAAAAAGAAATGTATTTTCTAATAAGTATTTTCTTCAAATATATCGTTTCAGCTCATATTTGGTGAAAAAGAAATTTTACCCTATTCACATTTCAATGATGTTACTAAGAAACTATGCAGCTATAAGATATTTCATTTTCTGTGTAACAGTATATTTACATTTTTTTATGGATATGATCGAAAAAATTTGAATGAGGTATGTGTCATTTTGATTTAAAGTCAATGACTTTGTATGATAATGCTAGTGATGTGACATTGCTAGAATTAATAATTATTAAAATCTAGGGCAATTTACTTGCCCAATATATAAACATGTTAAAATATACATAAACTAAATTATGTATCAGAATACATTCTGTGTATTATTTCTAAATTAACCTTTACCTATAGGAATTTCTTTTCTTTTTTTGGGGGGGGTCCGGTCGTGGGGCCTGAACTCTGGGCCTGGGCACTGTCCCTCAGCTCTTCAGCTCAAGGCTAGTGCTCTACCACTTGAGCTATAGTACCACTCTGGCTTTTTTTTTTCTTTTTGCTTATGTGGTGCTGGGAATCGAACCCAGGGCCTCATGCATGCAAGGCAAGCGCTCTACCACTGAGCCACCTTCCCAGCACCCTATAGGAATTTCTTTATATATGTGTGTGCATGAATTTCTATTATTATATCTAGATGGATGTTGATCTCATTTTCACATAACTGATGTCATTATGTAGTTACTGGTCATTTGGTTTAGACTTTCTCAGAAAAATTTATTGTTATTAAATGGTATCATATACAACACACAAATGCATTTATTTTCTTGAAATCTAGTATTCTCTAAAATGGTTGAAGAAAGATTTATCCATTGATGTAATACATTTACATTGTTTTGTAAGAGTCTCATTATTACAAATATTTGAATCACCAACAAATGCCACCATGTTATTCTTCCTCATAGAGTCGCTATGATGTGTATTTGCAACTCATGCCATCAGGCTCGTCTGTTCAAAATTTGCTACACTATTTTCAGGTATAACATTTCTGACCTTCCTTCATTTTCTTCTTTCTGTCTTTTACAATCTTTTCTCTTTGATAGAGCTCTGTTATTCTCTATCTGTTTGGTTTTGTGGCCAATGTATATATCCTGTTTAAGTATTCTTCTAATGCCAAGAATACTTCCCAACCTATACAGATTTTCGCATGGGGGTTTGGGGATTATTGGAGACTGATCTGCAATTTTGTTTTGGTGTGTCTGTCTTTGCTTGGTTGCTGATTCTGTATTGGTAGGGAGAGTCTGTGCCTGATCTGGGTTCTGTTGGGGACCTACCTCCAGCTGCTGGTCTGACCTACATAGGATTCTTGGCTCTATGCTGTAGACCGCTGGTAATTCCCACCTTTGGAAGGGTTGAGCAGCCTAGACTGCTCGTGTTTGCTCCTAGGGATGATCTTGGCAAAATCGGATGCTTTGGATGCACTCTTCCAGGTGCTGGAGTCTGCTATGGGTTCCTTATGTTTTTTGTTTGTTTGTTTTTTGGCCGGTTGTGGGCTTGAACTCTAGGTTTGGGTGCTGTCCCTCAGTTCTTCAGCTCAAGGCTGAATCCCAGATTTATATAGGGGATATTGAATGTGAATTCTTGGGCCACAATATAAAATAAGAAGGTAAAATCAGCTGTTTTTAGTTATACTCACTAAGATTTTAGAAATAATAATTTATTTCATCCTTATTCAAGGCTATTCATACAGGTACATTTCAAGCTTATGATTATGGAAGTGCTTCTCTAAATTTTCAACACTATAATCAGGTAAGCTTTTAAAAATATGTTGATTTGGCCTTTTGAAAAGATGTTAAAGTTCTAACCAATCATTTGTTTTTTCAAAGACTTTGTATTTTTAAATACTTTGTATTTCAATGAAACTGGCATAGGTAAATGTAGAATGGGTTGTAATCATAACAGTATTATGAATTTTTGTTGTAATATGATCCAAACACTATCTATCTATCTATCTACTGAGCTACATCTATATAAATAACTATATTTATATATCTACATGCATATTTATATAAATATATTGGTAGTCATATGCATATCTTCATATATGTACATAAATGTATAATTATATATATTGATATAACTATATTTATATAGATCACAGAAATATATACACATTCATACATAAATGGAATTGATTTATATCTTGTAATTAATATATCATTATTGTAAACAACACAATAACCTTACATGATTTATCTATATCATTTAATATGGAAAGAACCTGAGGTTCATATAGCTTCAGATTTGACAAGTCATTTGTTTAGTATTGGCTAAAAGTCTTGATCAAAAGTCCAGTCCTTTATGACTAAAGTTGAAATTCCATAATTTCAATTATCATAAACATGACATTATTTTTGCCATTTCTTAATAGAACAACTTACAGTTCACTGTGTGATATATTGTTAACATAAACTTTGATATTCCTCATTTTCCTGTAGTCCACTCCTCCAGAGTACAATGTGGAAAACATGAAGGTCCCGACTGCAATGTGGAGTGGTGGACGAGATGTTTTAGCAGATCCCAGGGATGTTCAAAATCTGGAACGCAGAATTTCTAATCTCATTTACAATAAGGAAATCTCTTACTATAATCATAATGATTTTCTCATAGGTAAGGATGCTCCTACTCAAGTTTTTAGTGGTATCCTCAAAATTCTCAGTGAAACTAAAGGAGATTGAAATTTTTTCTTTGGTTTTACGTATATTTCTGCCACTTGTAGAGTTTCCTCTCCGTGTGCAATGTGTACGGGTACTGGCTTGTGTGCTGTCCTTGAACTTTTTTGCTCAAAACTAGCCCTCTACTTTTTGAGGAACAACTTCTCTTGTTACATTTTTACTGCTTAATTGGAGATGAGGGTTTTACATACTTGCATACTTTGGATAGCTTTGAACTATGATCTCAGTTCTCAGCCTCCTGAGTAGCTTAGACTACAGGCATGAGCTTCTGGGGTGCAATATATTGATTCCTTGCATCTATGAGTTTCTTACTTGTCACTTTTTCTTTCCAAGTGCCTTTGATTTTGTATTTTTTTCAATCACTTTTCTTCTAAACTATTTCAATTTGTCTGTAAAATATAATAACCAATAAATTGTAAATATTCTATCCATCCTGATAAGGCTTCTCAATTCATGGATAATGTTGAGTCTTTGTATGTTGTCTGACAAGAAAGGAGCTCCTGAGCAGTATGTTTGATCTTTGTTGGCAACAAGAATATCCACAAATATTGATGAAGGATGAAACCAGGATTTTTTTGGGGGGAGGGGTTGGTGCAATATTATACAAGACTGTATAATATTATTATAAAGGACTGTAAAATTGCTTTGTATACTTTTTTGACAAGAGACAGTAAGGATCATATCACTTAGGCCTTTACCATGGAATGCAAAAGGATTTTTTTTTTACACAAATTGCAGGGGAGGACTTCTGTCACTGAATCGAAATTGATTGGTATCTGTTTGGAGGAATCTGTTTATGCCAATATTCTGTAGTTAGAGATAAGTAGAAAAGTTTTAAGATCATCTTATATAATTTTTCATTAGAATAATCATGCCTAGAATATGTTTTCCAATTGATCATTTAAATTGTCCAAGGCTAGAAGGCAACATTTGTTTACTCCTGCAGTTCCATATGTTTTCCATTCATACATTGATATAAAAGGATCTTAATTCTTTTTTTATTTCTTTTTTTGGGGGGGGGTCCAGTCGTGGGGCCTGAACTCTGGGCCTGGGCGCTGTCTCTCAGCTCTTCAGCTCAAGGCTAGGGCTCTACCACTTGAGCCACAGCGCCACTTCCAACTTTTTTCTTTTTGCTTTTGTGGTACTGAGGAATCAAACCCAGGGCCTCAGGCATGCAAGGCAAGCGCTCTACCATTGAGCCACCTTCCCAGCCCCAAGGATCTTAATTCTGAGTATGTGATGCCACAGTATAGAGTCTCTCCACTGAAGTTGAAATCCAAGTCCCTGGGCATCTTTCATTCATCTGACCATCTGTGTTATACACATGAATCCAATAGTCATATGTGGTTATTTAAATTTGAATTTGAATTCTTTTAACTAAAAGTTCAGATGTCCTACATCAATAACCACATTCAAGTGGTTTCAACTTTTTGTACCCTTCCTACATAGCAGAAAGTTCGTCAGGGCTGCATGAGATAAGAATTAAATGAATTAGCATCCAAAAAACCCATAGAAAGAATCAACAATGAAATGGTTCTTAAAAAAATTAACAAAATTGACAGACCCTTAGCAAATCTTATCAGAAAAAGAAGAGAACACACCCAAATAAACTCAGAGATGAGAATGGAAACATCACCACAGAAACAACCAATATTCAGAACATTATAAGGGAATACTTCTCAAACATTTATGCTAATATTTTTGAGAATCTGGAAGAAATGGATGATTTCCTAGCAAATATCCACATGCTGAAACTAAACCAAGATGAGTTAAATCAACTTAACAGGCCCATATCAAGCATTGAAATAGAAACAGCAATAAGTGACCTCCCATCTGAGAAAAGCCCAGGACTGGATGGATTTACAGTGGAATTCACAGGAATACTCCTCCAACTCTTTAATGAAATTGAAAGAGAAAGTTCACTACCGAACTCATTCTATGACGCCATCATAACCTTCATCCCAAAACCAGGCAGGGATTCATCAAAGAAAGAGACCTATAGACCCATTTTTGTGATGAACATCGATACAAAACTTCTCAACAAAATTTTGGCCAATTGAATTCAACAATACACCACAATCAAACAGGATTCATTTTAGGGATGCAAACCTGGTTCAATATATGCAAATCAATTAATATAATTTATCACATCAACAAGAGCAAGAATAAGAACATGGTTATCTCAATAGATGCAGAAAAAGCATTTGACAAGATCAAACACCCTTTTATGATGAAGGCTTTAGAAAAATTAGGAATCCATGGAACATTCCTCAATACAATAAAGGCTGTATATGACAAACCTACAGCCAGCATTATACTCAATGATGAAAAACTAAAGCCATTTCCTCTTAACTCAGGAACAAGACAAGGATGCCCACTCTCTCCACTTCTCTTCAATCTAGTATTAGAATGTCTACCTAGAACAATAAGACAAGAGGCAGACATAAAGGGGATCCAAATAGGGAAAGATGAAGTAAAACTCTCCCTCTTTGCAGATGACATGATCTTGTATTTAAAGAACCCCACGGATGGACTCCACTCCCAAATTACTTGAGTTGATTCGAAACTTTGGCAAAGTAGCAGGGTATAAAATTAACCCTCAAAAATCAATGGCTTTTCTGTATGTCAACAATGAGAAGAGCACAGCTTAAATCAGAAAAGCAACTCCTTTTGTAATAGCCTCACAAAAAATACAATATGCCAGCTGCTGGTGGCTCATCCCTGCAATCGTAGCTGAGATCTGAGGATCACGGTTCAAAGCCAACCTGGGCAGAAAGCCTGAAAGACTCTTATCTAAAAAAAAACCACTAGAAAAACAGAAGTGGCGTGGTGGCTAAAGCGGTAAAGCACTCACATTAAGCTGAAGAGCACAGGGACAGCGCCCAAGTCCAAAGTTCAAGCCTCATGATTGACCAAAATAAAATAAAATAAAATACCTGGGAATTAACTAAAGAAGTGAAGGACCCCTAAGATGATCAAAACTTTAAAAACCTGAAAAAGGAAATCAAAGCAGAACTTTGAAAGTAGAAAAAACTCCCATGCTCCTGGATTGGAAGGGTCACCATCATGAAAATGGCAATACTTCCCAAGGCTATCTACAAATTCAATGTGCTACCTATCAATATTCCAACCTCATTCTTCAAGGAAATGGAAGAGGCGATCCAAAAATTCATAGGAAATAATAAAAGACCCCAAATAGAAAAATGATCCTTAACAGAAAGAACAGTGCTGGAGAAATATCACTACCGAATTTCAAAGTCTACAACAAAGCCACAGTAATCAAAATAGCGTGGTACTGGCACAAGAAGAGACCTCAGGACCAATGGAATAGAACTGAAAACCCAGAAATGAACCCACAGACCAATAGCCACCTAATCTTTGATAAGGGAGCTAAAAAAAATAGAATGGAATAACGACAGCCTCTTCAGTAAATGGTTTTGCAAAATTGTTTAATCACCTGTAGAAAACCAAAGCTAGATGCTTATATATCACCCTGCACCAGAATCAACTCCAAATGGATCAAAGCCCTCGGAGTGAAAGCAGACACTCTGAAAACAGGATGGAATAGGAGAAACCGTAGGTCTCCTTGGCACAGGCAGAAATTTTCTTAATAAAGATGTAGTAACAAAACAAACCAAAGAAAGGTTGGACAAATGGGATTGCATGAAGTTGCAGAGCTTCTGCATGGCAAAGGACATAGCTAGCAAAATCAATAGAAAGCCCACGGATTGGGAGAAGATCTTCACTAGCTATACAACGAACAAGGGTCTCATATCTAAAATATACCTGGAACTCAAAAAATTAAATCCTCTAACAACAAATCCTCAAAGAAACAACTGCCAAATAAATAAGTGGGCTAAAGACTTAAAGAGAAACTTCTTTGAAGAGGAAAGAAGGATTACCAATAGACACATGAAGAAATGTTCAGCCTCTCTAGCCATAAAAGAAATGCAAATCAAAACAACATTGACTCACCACCTTACCCCAGGTAGAATGGCTATAATCAAGAAATCTAATAACAACAGATGCCGGAGGGAATATGGCTAAAAGGAAACCACTACTGTACTGTTGGTGGGAGTGTAAACTTGTTCAACCACTCTAGAAAGCAGTATGGAGGATCCTCAAAAGACAAAACCTAGGGCTCCCCTATGACCCAGCAATCCCACATGTTGGCATTTACCCAAATATCACAAACAAAAGCTGCCTAACTAAAGCTACCAGCACAACTATGTTTATTGCAGCATTATTGACCATAGCTAAGATATGGAACCAATTCAGATGCCCCTCAGTAGATGAATAGATCAAGAACATGTGGTATATATATATATATATATATATATATATATATATGTATATATATATATATATATACACACAATGGAATTCTATGCCTCCATCAGAAAGAATGTCACTGTCCCATTTGTTAGGAAATGGAAAGACTTGGAAAAAATCATATTAAGTGAAGAAAGCCAGACCCAAAGAAACATAGGTCCCATGGTTTCCCTTATTTGCAATAACTAGTATACATCTAGAATAATCTTACCAACAAGCAGAAAAAAATCAAAAGCTATATACATATAACCATATAAGATTATGCTAAGTGAAATGAACCCCAAAATAGGGACATAAGAGATTTTTTTCTTTGTCACCATTGTTTTTAATGTACTATGCTATTTTTTGTTTCTTTTGTATGTTCTTCCCCCATGGTATAAGCCCTGTTGTCACTGTATTTGATTACAATTTCCTGCATGTTGGATATACATTTTTCTAATTTTGGGAGGGGAAAGGAAATAACAAAATGCTGAAACAAGGATACAGGTTGATATTGTAACAATGATACAAGACACTATGTTGAAAACAAACTTTACAACTTCAGGTGTGGGGGAAGTAGTTGGGGAGGTGGGGACAGAAGGGATGGTAAGGGAAAAACAAAGGAGGTGGTAACAATGCTTGATAGGAAATGTGCTCATTATTTTACTCATGTAACTGTAACCCCATTGTAC